AAGAATTGGTATGAATTTTATTTATTAATTTATCAAAAATTATAATTATATATTAATTTAATATTTTTTATATATTATATTTGTAGCAACGGGAAATGGGACGAAACCCGTCCATCATTGAGTTGGTTGATCGGACGTATAGACGTTCTGATGGTCGGTTTGTCGATCCTCGAGCTGAACGGGTGTTGAGACTGGTGAACGAGAAGTTATCACAACTCACCCAAATAGCGGCTGCCAGTTCATCGTCGGGTACTAACTTGTCTCCTACTGATCAAGACAAGTGTTATGTTGAGGTATAAAATCAATTTTATTTTTTCAATCTTTATATTATATTATTATTGATTAAATAATTTATATATAATATACATTATTTTGTAGTCTATTGAGCAGAACAAAGGCCGCATCTACGGTTTAGGAGGCCTCCAGAGAGATTTGCTGCAAGATTTTGGATCGCCGGTTCGTGCGCAAGTACAGATCGATACCGACCAACAACGTCGGATAGAACAACTTGAACGATCGCTACAACATCAGAAGGAAGAGACGGAGCGGCAGATGGCGGAACAACAGGCGAAGATAACTAATCTCGAACACATGATCAAGCTGCTTAAAGGAGTTCATCCTCCACCTCCCTCAACGACACCTTCAGCCGACGGAACCTCCAGCGCTCGAACTCCCGGAACCACCGAAGATGAAAAAACCGAAAGTTTGAATTAGTTTTCGGTTATCTAATTTTATAATTTGTTTCGAACCTCGTTTAATTATATGGTTTAATATTTTTAATTTAAATATTTATATTTTAAAAGTTGACAAATAATATTATCAACGGACATCCGTTGCTAACCCCGTTGATATTATTGACGGATTTTTCCACCGATCGCTATTGTTGCAAATTTGCAACGGTTTGTAGCAACGAACATACGTTCAAATATGGAACAGATTTATTCGTTGCAAAATACGTTGACATATATCAACGGATTATTCTGTTGCCCTGCCGTTGCTATTATCAACGGACTTGTATCATTGATAATCCGTTGAAATTTTCTACGGTTGGTAACGGATTCTGGATTTCAACGACTGTATTGCAACGGGTGACGTCCGTTGAAAATTCCGTTGAAAATCAACATTTTCAACGGATATTTGGGCTATTTCAACGGAAAAATCCGTTGATATTAGGGGTTTTTTTTTGTAGTGTCATCTATATATTCGTCCACATGTAAAATATCATATTCAGTGTGCCCAATAGGATTATCAGTAGACAAAAATGTCAATGCATTCAATTCTTCGACGTGATGAGTGATTTTCTTGAAGAGGAGGTTCTATAGAGTCGTTTGCATTTTCTTCATGAGATAATCGTCGGGGTTGTATCTTGATGACTGCATTCCATTGTTCACGTTGTCGTTTTACACTTGGATAATGCAATAACACACTTGATCTGCTTGAGATGAAAGAATGAACCAGATTGTATTTTTTATACTTCCTTGAGATGTTGACATCAACACTTTCTGATCCCTCTGCCAACTGTATGATCAAACTAGTATTCCGAAGAAGTCAGGTTCATTCGTTAAGTCACAGCCTACAGAATCTCGACAAATTCCGTAGTTCGATATCGTCGATTTGAACCATGATCGAATGTGTGAAATGTATATCCTTGTGTGAACATGATCGGATAACATGTCACCTTTCTCGATGGACCCTGGATCAAATCTTTTAACCACAAATTATGATGCGGTGATTGTTGCACCTGAAACCAATAATAAACATGATTGTCAGATTAGTTGGACAATTTTGTTTATATAATTAACAATAAATTTAGAAAAGTCGATACTTACATAGTTATGTAACCAAGACGAAAAGAAAGTTTCTTTCATCTTGATGAGACCATCGTATCTGGATGTTGACGTATCATTTTCTCGTCAAATAATAGCTTAATGGGTCGAATGTTTTCACAATTCAATAAGATGTATGTGTGTGCGTGTCGATACGCCTCTTCGGTTTTATGTCATCTGAGATGTTTAAATGCGTGTTTAGCTTTGATTTTCGCTTGGTTCATGTATGACTGCAGGTACAAGCAATAGGAGCAAAAGAAAAGACAAAAATCCCGAAAAAGAACGAGTTTCAATGATGCACCCGATCGTGTCACCCTACATCCACACGATCATGTCTCGTCATCAAGAAAGCTACGATCGAATCAAGAGTCCACCCGATCATGTTCCACTAAACCACCCGATCGGGTCATTTCGCAAAGACGAGAGTGTTGGGGAATCTACGGGTTCCTAGCATGCGATCATATCGATCTAGGGTTTGGTTTACTAGGTTTCATGCAGCGGAAGAAAAATCTAAACCTAGTCAAACGTCACACGCAACCAAAATCGCAAAACGCAAAAGATCGTGTATATCACCGAGGGAATCGTTACTTACCTCGTTCTCGATGAGTCTTGAAGTTTATTTCGATCCGGGGCCTGTTCTAAATCACCAAGAGCTGAAAGTACAGCTCCTCTACACGTATCCACACCGACGGGAAGGATTCCAAACGATTTGGAACGAATCTGCTAGGATTAGTGAAGAAAAGGGTAACTCAAGAGACGAGATCCAATCCCGGGACAATAGAAATCCAAGAGAACAGCTTCTCTAGGGTTCTAGGGTGTTTTTCTGAGTTTTAGGTCGGCTCTAATTTAGTTTAGACGAAACCCTAAACTTAAATAAGATTAGAAAACCCTAAAATTCGAATTTTGGAAATATTCCGGATCCCGGTCCGCCGGACCAGGGCGGACCAAGCTTAGTCCGAAGCACGCGGTCCGCCAGAGCGGACCGAGCTTCCGGACCTCCCGGACTGACCAAACGTGGTCCGGGGCTGACCAAACTTGGTCAGCTCCGGACCAACACACTGAAAACTATTTTCATGCTCGTTTCGGTCAAATCTCGTTTCCATTCTTCGTATTCTTCACATATAAGTCCATCCCTATTGGTGTGTGACCCTGTAGGCCCATTCTAAGTGGTAGTGACTTTAGGAACCTTTCCCGAACCACAAGTCATGGTTAGCCTCTAGCAAGACGCCATGACCACCCATTTAGAATTGAGTTAGAGGTGATCTAACCAAGGCATTAACAGCTCGAATTCTGATCCTTTGTCTCACAATATCATAAGTTGAACAAGGGCATGATTTGAGCCACCCTTCAAGTTCAACTACTTTCTCGTCTTGGCAAATCGACTAATAAAATAGATGCAACTTCATCTATAGCGTGGCCACGCGTTTTCATAGTCCGGCTTCCACGAGAGGGCCCAGCGATATCTCTCCTGTTAAGGAGGTGACAAATCCCATATTGCATGTCTACTATCTCCATATGATTCGTGAACGTATCTGATCAACGCCGTTATAATCATCCGGTTAAAGACGACGTTTGACGCAGTCAAGACACGCCACTCCTCATATCAGATACTCTAGACATCTCAGGTATGAGAATCCATAAACGAACCGCTGTATGAGATTCAAGTCATGACTCTGTCCATGTGACAATCTCATGCGGGTCATCCAATCACTCGTTCACAACGAGTACCCATGATTGTGATCTACATCCAACGCATTGATCACACCTCATGCTAGTCTTCATTCAACATTGTTCCCACAATGATAACTGACCAGGGAGTTTAGAATCATTCTATAATGATTCAAGGATACCGAAATACAACAAACATGCCAATCATATAACGGGAATGTAATGCATTCATAAATCAATGAATCAATACAAAGTCAAAATGTCATATCACGGATCATCCTAGAGCATTACAACCAACAATCTCCCACTATGCTCTATATATGATCTATCCTACAAGCATCTAATCCCCATACCCTTAACATGACCATCATGTTTTGACGAAGGGAGAGGCTTCGTCAATGGGTCGGCAATATTATCATCTGTCGACACTCTGCTTATCTTCACGTCTCCTCTGTCGATGATTTCCCTAATCAAGTGAAATCGGGATTTAACCTTGTAGGGATTTATTGTTGGTTGTAATGCTCTAGGATGCTCCGTGATATGACATTTTGACTTTGTATTGATTCATTGATTTATGAATGCATTACATTCCCGTTATATGATTGGCATGTTTGTTATATTTCGGCATCCTTGAATCATTAGCGAATGATTCTAAACTCCCTAGTCAGTCAACATTGTGGGAACAATGTTGAATTAAGACTAGCATGAGGAGTGATCGATGCATTGGATGCATGTCACAATCATGGGTACTCGTTGTGAACGAGTGACTGGATGACCCGCATGAGATTGTCACATGGACAGAGTCATGACTTGAATCTCATAAAGCGGTTCGTTCTTGGATCCTCAGACCTGAGATGTCTAGAGTATCTGATATGAGGAATGACGTGTCTTGACTGCGTCAAACGTCGTCTTTAACCGGATGATTATAACGGCGTTGATCAGACACGTTCACGAATCATATGGAGATAGTAGACATGCAATATGGGATTTGTCACCTCCTTAACAGGAGAGATATCGCTGGGCCCTCTCGTGGAAGTCGGACTATAAAAACGCGTGGCCACGCTATAGATGAAATTGCATCTATTTTACTAGTCGATTTGCCAAGACGAGAAAGCAGTTGAACTTGAAGGGTGGCTCAAACCATGCCCTTGTTCAACTTATGATATCGTGAGACAAAGGATCAGAATTCGAGCTGTTAATGCCTTGGTTAGATCATCTCTAACTCAATTCTAAATGGGTGGTCATGG